TAATCATTATTTGCTGAATAACATTCAGACATTTTTCTCTAGTTTATATAGAGGCAAAAAGAAGACCTAAATGGAATGTCTAAATAAGTGGGTGATATTTAAATATTATTTTAAAATATCACATATTGAAGTTAGGATTACATGATTTTAACCAAAATAAAAATAAATAAAATGAAGTAAAAAGAACGATTAATCAGAACTGACAAACAACTTTAACCAATATTTTTTCTTTTACTTAAATTGATATTAATTCCTACACTACAATTAATAGGATATGCAAAACATTAAGAGTTTGGAATTTATACTGTCAAGATTACTAACACATTCTTTTCTATAACTGTAATTCCCATAGCTGTCTAATCTGTTCTACATAAAAATAGATTCCCTGGTCTTCTCTCATCCATTTCTTTATTTGAACTCATCTGTTAATTGACTGGACTTTGCCATGGAAGAGTTTTTTTACAAGAAACAGAAGAACTTAAGTATTTCTTTCCAAAGTTCCCACACTTTGAAAATATGACCGCTAACTTTTTACTAAAAGGACAGCTGGACTGCATATGAGATTTTTGGGGTATGCTTTCTTTTCCTTAGAAGTTTGTAAATGCTGTTCTACTATCTTCTGGCAACTAATATTGTTGTGAAAGTCTGATACTTCCTTTTTTCTTTTGGAGTGTTAATAAAAATTATTATATTTTTATTCTTTAGGTGTAGTAACTTTATCAACATATGTCTTAGTATTGATTGTTTTGCATCATTTTTCTGGGACCTTGTATATCTCTTAATCTGCAGACACAAAATTTTAGATTAGTAAATTTCTCTTTATTTATATATCTTTTAGTAATGTTTCAGACCATTTATTCTGTTCTCTTTTCCAGAAACATTGATTATGTCAACTTGCATCTCTCATTTCTCTTGTATATGTATCATGTATAATAATTTTTAGGTCATTCTTTTCCCATGTTAATTTCTTCAAGATTATCCACCATGCATTTAGTCACTTAATAAGCATTTATTAGACTGAGCACTAGGCACTAATCTCATACTGTAGATACAGTAACAAATAAAACAAAATTCAGCCTTCCTATTGCTTAGGTTCTCGTGGAATATACTATCTCTGATTTCATTTTGTTCATTTGGTCTTAATTTTTTGTTGTTTCTAATGCAGCTTTCCTTTTTGTAATATTTTCATTTTTCTCTTCTACGACTTGTTTTACGATGTTTATATTTGACCCATCTTTGTTTCTTTTGTCAGTTTATTTTGAATGTTATGCAAGTATCTCTCCTTCTATAAATTTTTCCCTCCCATGGCTTCTGTGACATCAGTGTCTCCTAGTTTTCTTGCTACTTTTCTACCTGCTTCTTTTTAGGTTTCTTTCACAAACTACTCTTCCTCTCTTCTTTCTTTAAAAAGCTGTTATTCCCTAACAATTCACCCTTGGCTATGTTCAGAGTCTCACCTTCTCAATGAATATACCATTTATATGCTGATAACAAATCACCTGTTTTTGGTTATCACTGTCTCCAGTGCCTGGAACAGTGCCAGATCTAGTAAAAGCTCAATAATAATAGGAAATGATAAATGAGTAACTCCCATCTATACTTGAATCCTGAATCTTGTTCCCATGCTTCAGACACATACCATGCATATCCCCAGATGCTCAAAATGACACATTCAGCATGCCTAAATCTTAACTTATTGTCCCTCCCATTATCTCTCTTAACTCAAAACTAAAATAAAATAAAAAACAAACAAATCCATTCTTCCTCTAATAGCTTCTGCCCAGAATAATTATGTTACCATCTCTCAAATTATCCTCCCTTTCACTCCCATTTCATTTTTTGTTTTGCATAAGTACATAATGCTCTCATATCTGAATCTAAAATCAGGAAATGGTCATCAATCATTTAACTTTCCCTATCAATATTCAGGCACTCTCTAGCTCAGTGATTCTTAACTAGAGGTAGTACATAGCTCGCTAACCCTTATCCAGAAAATCTGGGAATGTGCAGGAATTTTTGGTGGTCAAAATGGAGGGGGGCAATTCAGACCTGCAGTGGGTAGCACTTGTCAGGAGTCCCATACGTAACAAAAAACTGCCCAGCCTAAAATGCCATCGAAACAATGAACCTAGTTATTTTTTTAAGCCACAAGATGGCAATAAACTCAAAGAAAAGTCTAAAAAAATCACTTTTCCAGCTAAAAAGAAATACGTTGTTCCTAAATGTCCAAACAGGATAAAATATTTTTTTAATTGAAAATGATGAAAAACACTTTAAAATGAGGCTATGCATTCCAATTATTACTTGTAATGGAGATTATGAATGATTTGTTCCAAATAAAAAAATTACCAAAATGGCACAAAAATTCCCATACTTGTGATGAAAAACCTCATTTTGCTAAAAGAAGTATATCTGATAAATTCTTCATTTCTCAATAATTTCAACTTTTAGGAGCTCTGGTAGCACAGTACCTAAGGCACTTGACTGGTAACCAGAAGGCTGGTGGTTCAAAGCCACCAGCCACTCCTTGGAAGGAAGGTTGGGCAATCTACTTCCATAGTGATACCACCTCAGAAACCCAAGGAAGGGTCGCTATGAGTTGGATCCGACTCGATGGCACATAACAACAACAGAAGGTCAAGTAAACAACAATGGTGATAGCATGCTATATAGTCTTTGTTCTCTGAAGGCAGGGAGCCACAAAGCTCTGATGCCGAGTCACAAGAATTAGGTGAGATATCAAACTAATAATTTTTAAGAAATTAATAACAAGCAGTGACAATAAAGTAGTAAGTTTCATTTCCTTGAGTGGCTTATAAATTAGTTCCTAAGGCAATTCTAAGATGTTCTGAAATTGTTCCAAAGAATGAAAATAAGAATAATTGATACTTCCCATCATGACAATAGGAGCTCTGCTAGCACAGTGCCTAAGGCACTTGACTGCTAACCAGAAGGCTGGCGGTTCAAACCCACCAGCCACTCCTCGGAAGAAAGGTTGGGCAATCTACTTCCGTAGTGATACTGCCTTGGCAACCCAAGGAGGGGTCGCTATGAGTCGGGTCCGACTCGATGGCACACAACAACAACAACATTATGACAATGTTAAAATAGATAATATTCTGAGACTAAGAGTCAGTATGCTTATTTAAGAAACCAATTATTTTATAGCCTTATCCTTAAACAATATGCTTCTTTATTTCAAAGGCTTAGTTTACTTATTCCACAAAACACACCTACATATTAAAGCATAAATAAATTAATCTCTACTTCTTAGCAGCAGCAATGTAGAAAAGTTAAGAACACTGTGCTCTAAAATCAAACTGCCTAGGTTTGAGTATTGACTCTGTCATTTCATAGGCAGGGGGTGTTGGGCAAGTTACATAACCTTCCTGGGCCTTGGTTTCCTCACTTGTAAATGAGAATAACATAATACCTATCTCATAGGGTTGATGTAAGGATTTAAAGATATGATATATGTAAAGGACAAGGAGCTCTGGTAGCAAGTGCCTAAGGTATCTGGCTACTAAGCAGAAGGCTGGTGGTTCAAATCCACCAGCCATTCCACAGAAGCAAGAATGGGCATCTACTTCCGTAAAGATTTACCACCTTGGAAATCCAGTGGGTGTCGCTATGAGTCAGAATCGACCTGACGGCAGTGGATTTGGTTTTTTGGTTATATAAAGGACAATAGTGCCTGGCACATAACAAACTCTCAATAAATGTTAGTAGTGGTATTTGCTATTTATTATCACTATTACTATTTATTCTTAGTTTTGGAAAATTAATGCTAGTATAGGGATCCCTTAGGTCAGAAATGAAGAAAGTGTTATCACAATTTAAACCTAGCAACCCTATCTTATATCACACTACCTCGACAACAAGGATCTCTAAAGAAATAATCTCACTAGGTGGCATGCCTTTTCAGGCTCCAGACCCATAAATCTAAGCTACTCTTCAATTAGGAATCCTATTTATTGCTTTGCAAGTTCTTTAAACTATTCAGGCCCCATCTTGTACAATGTCTACAGGTTACAAAACTCTAATGTCCTCTCAAGGCATGCTCACATTGCAGTGCTACAGACCAGAAGAAAATGTACTCCAATTCTCTGAAAATTATTTTAATAAATAGGCACTGGCCTTCATGGTCACCAATGGAACATTAAGAGTAAAGGCATTATTGATAGTATATAGGTAAACTCTCTCTATATATAACTCCTATATTCTAAGATTAGATTTCTGTGTTATATCTTTCCTAAACAAATGAAGAATATAATTCCAACATATGATAGCCAAAAGGAAAAAGATATATCTATCTAAGAGTTAAAGAAGCTTTTTCTGTTTCTGAGTATGGTGAGACTACTAGTACTTATCCACCTCAGGTTCCCCTCTCCTTCCCATGTACATGGGAAGCCTGAGAAGATTATGTGTCCTAGACCCTTATATTAGGCAGGGCCATGTGCCTTGTTTTAATCTAAAAAATGTAAGCAGAAGTGACATTGTGACTTCTGGGCTAAGGCATGTAAGAGTTAGTGTGCCATACCATGTTCTCTTTTTCTTGCAAAACACATATTGAGACAGTGGCTTCATTAAGACAGAGGGAGCCTGGATCCTAAGCCATAGGAGGAAACACAGCCATCGTCGACCCACAGTGGTCTTGGCATGAAGAGAAGTAAATATTTGCTGTGCACTGGCATTTTGGAGTTTCCATAATGTAGCCTAGCCTAACTTGACAAATGCACTGAGGTACTTCACCTCTCTACATACTACCAACTAAGTGATAAGAGAGGTAAAAGAGGTAGGAGAAAATATGTACTAGTGTGCAGAATGGCAGAGTTATAGAATGCTAGCAATCTTTAGAAAATGGGAAGGAAAAATAGAATCACTTTAAGACAGCAAACCTATATTCCTTATGGAGTCTAAGATATCCCTTCTGGCACCTGTGTTCTGGCCATGGAACGTCTCTGCAGAGAAGATGAAAATATTTAAAGAGCAATTCCTACCTGCGTAACTGAGCATTTTCACTTCTTAGTGGTTGCATGGCCAGTGCTATTTCGACTTGAACATTTGTGTTTCCACTTACTTCTGGAAGCAAAGATATGCATGTCTCCACTTCCGTAACCAACCTCTGAATTTCTGAATCTCCTATAAAAAGCAGAAGAAATGAGTAAAAACATTATAAATTGTTTTTGGATAAGGTTATTAGTATGTATTACTAACAAATAAAATTTTTATAGATATGTACATATTTGCTATAAATAAATTCAACCCAATTATTTATAAGTCCCATTTTTCTCTCCTGCTGCCTGCATTTGCTTACTCTGAAGAATTCTAAAGATATTAAGGTCAGTAAATTAAAGATTAAGCATAAATCAAGGATTATTACTGATTTTCTTCATATAGTAGGCAACCAGTTTACACATACTTACCAGTTCATATTTACTGAAGGGCAACATTGTTGTTGTTGTTATGTGCCATTGAGTTGGAAGGACTCATAGCGACCCCTCCTTGGGTTTCCTAGGCAGTATCACTATGGAAGTAGATTGCCCCATCTTCCTTCCGAGGAGTGGCTGGTGGGTTTGAACTGCCAGACTTCTGGTTAGCAGTCAAGTGCCTTAGCCACTATGCTACCAGGGCAATATTAGAGTCCTATAATTGCTTACAGTAGTAACTTTTACAATACAATCTTTGATTCTGGCATAAACAAATAATTTACCTTAAGTGATTCATTTGGCAAAATAGTAAGTGAGGGTCTGCTAAGATTAGTTTTCATTATGTAATTTTATAATACTAGATTTAATACAACCAGCCACACCTCATTTGATGTGGCATCAAAAGCAATACCATTCCTGCTATTAGTTGCAGGGAGTGGATGTTTTGGGAGGTGACAAGCATAGGTGGAAGGTAGACAAGAGATCTTTTGTCCTTTTTTTGGTTCCCTCACTCCCCTTTTTATCTGTGAACTGAAAACATTTAGGGATTATAACATTAACTGTGTGATAAATAGTACAGTTGATTAAATACCACAGGGTATTTTAATACTCTGATACAAAATCCATGAATACAGGATACAACTGTGCCTGATTACCAAGCAATGTTCTATCAACCCTGTGTAGAGCAGTTTTGCTTATGGGTTTTGGAGCCAGAGACCTGGGTTCTACCACTTTCTGGCAATATAACGTTAGTCAAATTATTTAGATCTTAAAAATGAACATACAATATCTCATTAATAGCATTTATATTCATTACATATTGAAATGTTAGTATTTTAGATAAATTGGGCTAAATAAAATATACTATTAAAAATTTACTTAATTCTTCAAGTCTGGTTTTCTTCATGGTTAAATGAAGATAACAGTACCTCATATGGCTGCTGATAGGGTTAAATGAGATAATGTTCTCCAAGTCTGTTTCCTCATCTGTAAAATGGGGGTGATAACAGTACCTCACAAAGTTGCTAAGGAGTTCTGGTGGTGTAGTGGCTAAAGCATTCAGCTACTAACCATAAAGTTAGCAGTTCAAACCCACCAACTGTTCCATGGGAGAAAGATGAGTCAATCTGCTTCTGTAAAGAAAGATTTACAGCCTTGTAAACCCTATGGGGCAGTTCTGCTCTGTCCCATAGGGTCACTATGAGTTGGAATTGGCTCAGTAGCAGTGGGTTATAAGGTTGCTGTGAGGGTTAAATGAGATAATGCACACACAACACTTAGCACAGTGCCAGACACGTTGTAAGTATTCAACAAATGAAAGCTATTATTGTTACTTTTATTATGATTTTTACCATGATGAAGTATTTGGTTAAAAGAATGTTAGTAAATTGAAAGTCTGAAAATGCAGAAATTTTAACACATTAACGACTTAGATTAATGGTGCTGTTTTCCAATAGCAACATTTGAATTTGGTATTTTTTGTGTGTGTCAATTGGCAAATATTATTCAATCAGTGGGTCCACAATTGATTAGTTTCCCAAGACAACAAATCTGTAACACACTCCAAGAAAAAGCCATTATTTCAGAAAATATACATGAAATGAGAACACATGAGTACAACCTGGCTCAAATATCACGTAAGTCCATCTAAGACATTTTTCATGATTTAATTTAAAAAACTCTAAAAGTAAACTGAGAAGAGTAATAGTAAACTGAAAACCATAAAAGGTTTTGGCTACTTCTCAAGGTGAGATCTGTTAAACAAAATAACAGCTGGTTACCAAAGAAGTAATGGTTAGAAAATCTCTGCACCTTTTTCAAGTGGGGAAAATAAGCAGTCTACTACAGGGATTTAATCATCTTTAGCAGATCTGACCCCTAAAATTTTATTTTTACAAATTCTCTTTAGCCAAATCTTTTCATGGTCTCTTTGGATCAAGTAGAATGAATATATACACGGCAAGCAAAAGACTAAATGTTTGATATTCCCTAACATATTTCAAAACCGTGGGGTTAGGGTGGGAGAGGGTAGAGGGGGGATTTAAAACCTAAAAATAAAAAGCAAGCATAAAACAGGCAGAACTCATTTCTTTATTGGCTTAAGCCACAGCTCTAGGGAAACTATCCCTAACTCCATGTTGATTATTCTAAATGTAAATGCCGCTAAATAATATGACACTGCTATTTAGCATACCACCATGCTACAGAAAAACAGGAAGTGGTCATCTACCTTGTTCCGCTACCAGAGACTTGAGCTCTCCCAACAAATACTTTATAGTTCTAATTTTTTCAGTAGTCTGGTTCACATTTTTTGCCTTCTGCACATCCTTGGTTGTTCCCGCCTCTCGCACATGTATGTTTAAATCTTCACTTGTGGTTTTTCCAATGTGTTCCCTGGCGCATTTTTCTTTATTAGTGGCCAAGAAAGCTGGCTGTGATCGAGTGGGGCTTTTGTGTGTCTGACTGTCCAGATGAGCTTCTTTCCCAGGAGAATGCAACAGAGACATATATGCTTGGAAATATTTTAGTAGGTCTGCTTCCTTAGAATTTGCTTGTTGTGGCAGAATTCCATTAGCAAGACCCAGCGGCTGATGCACCGGTATAGCTGATTTATCAGTTCTGGGCAGGCCGCATGAAACTCCGGGACTGCTATTGAAGGAATTCCTTGGAACATCAGCAGAGTTCACCAAAACTGTTTTACCTTCTGATGCAAACTGGTTGTCACTATCAGTCTGAACTTGCTAAGGAAAGAAAAAATAAGTTAACTCTTCAAAAGTAAAAGCACTGACCTGCAGGCATTGATCAGAATAAACTCAAACCAGAAATATTAGAAAATGACTTTTTACATGATGGAGTTACAGACAACCAGCGAGTAAGCTGGACTTTTCCTCAGTAAAATAAAGATTTCTAGTTTTTTAAAGCTTAAGTAGTTCACTCTGCAGTATAAGTACATTATAGGGCTGTGACTAAGACAGATTGTTTGCAAATAACACAGACGGTTTAAAGGTATCAAAAATTAGTTGTGCTCAACATTTCCACTTTGGGAAATTATAAGAAAATAAGCTCAAACACAAAAAGCTTTTGCATAAACAAACTTACATAAAGTTATAATAGTAAAAACTTGGCTGTTACCTAAATGTCTAACCATAGGGGAGTGGTTATACCAGACTATAGCTTATAAAAACAGTAATAACCACTCATTAAAAATTTACAAAAGGTATATTTTAATAGAGAAACATGCTAACAATAAAATGTTAAGTGACAAAAAGCAGTACAGAAAACTATATAAAATTTAATTATATTTTCCAAAGAAAACAAACTTAATAGGAACAATCAAAGAAATAAGAAAACAAAACCTCACAGAGAATTTAATGATTGGAAAGTACTCTATTAACACGTTAATAGAAGTTGTACTTAGGTGGTGGGAATGGGTGATTTCTTTTTTCTTTGGTTCTCTATCCTGCCCCACCATACTTGCTGATCCCCCTCCCTACTTTGTACCCTACCATCATCCTTAAGAACTAGATATTTTTCTAATAAAAACAAAAACAACTTGAAAAAAATAGTCTTTATATCCTATTGCAATGAGACACAGTCAGTACATTCAGTTTTCCTTACTAAGATGATAGTTTCTACAAGCCAGTAATTTCTTGTATAGTACAAAAATTGTACCCACAGAATGAACCACTGGAAGGCAGGGTGGCCGCTGAGGTGACAGGACTGGGGTGGAGGTAGGTAAGCCATAACTAGAATGTGGAGTTGCCTGAGATTCTAAAAGTTAAGAGGAAGAAAAAATCACTCATATCTCATTGCTTATACAATAACCAGGCAATTTAATTAGAGCTTACATTCATGGTTTTAGAAACATTATTCATACTAACCAGAACGAGAAACAGTATGGCAAGGTATAACGGGAATTCCATTAACGCTGGTCTTTAAAGCCAAGTCATTCATCAGTGACATTTGAGTCTGCACGTGCTCACAGAGGGCTTGGTATATCATGGGTGAGTGCATTCTATAATGATCTTGCAATGACTGATTTTGTGCTATGTCTGATGAGTCTCTTTCATTTCTAGCAGGAGCTTCATTAGGTATCTGTTTCTTACTATCTGGAGATAATAATGTGAAAGAAAGAAAAAAATTCTTGAAATATAATTCTTCAAAAATTTTTAGAATAGGATCTTAGGGACCAAAAAGATTCTCAGAAGTAGCCCGATTAAATACAATACACTCCACAGAAAAGCTTTACCATTATGACTCCTAAAGAAAATTACTTCAAAGTTTTTTTCAAAGCAGATAGGTAAATACATTGTTTTCGCAGTCAAAAGTTATCAAGATTGTTCTTTAACATTTCCATTAAATGCTATTTGTGGAATTTGTCCTTCAATTACATTCTGATACGAAGAGCTCTTGATGGTGTTACATTCTCTCTAAAGTCCTATAAAAGTCCCTCAGTGTCCCTGATCCGGTTCATGCTCTCAGGGGATACTGGAACAGGAAAAACAAAGTACTTTGTAGCAATTCTGATCCTTTGGCTGTAAAGAAAATCAAAGCTCAGAGATCATGAAGAAAAATAAAGGACTTAATCTACACATTGGGCCTTCAAATTCTACTTTTCCAACTGTCTTCCCAAGATCTTCAACCGAAATTTTTTATTCTAGCCAGGCCAATTTAGTCACCCAACAGGCCTCTCACCTTTCTGTAACATTGCTCATGCTGACCCATCCCTTCTAATGCAATTCGACCCACTTACCAAAGCTCAGCTGGGGACTTGACTCTTCTACGAAGCCTTTTCTAATCATTCCAGTTCAGTCAGTTATAGCTCTTTGTGATCACAGAGGACACATTGTCTACACAAATCATATCCCACTTACATACTGCCCTATATTGCTTATCTTTTCACTATAAGCTTCTTTAGGAAGGCTGGCCATATCTCATACTTTATTATAATTTTCTCCCATTGAGCCTGGTATTAGTCTATGTACAAAATAGAAACCTGCTATTAATGAAATGAAAATGAAAACCAACAAAAGTTTTCTACATAGCACTCTTCTATAGATCAGTGCCAAAACCTGAATTGGACTTCCCTGATAACATTCCCTTCTGAAATGCATTCTAAGGACTATTGATAGCAATCAGAGTAGTCTGATAAATCACCGGTTATCAGGGTACAAAATAAATTTAGAAAAATATATAACTTTTGGCAGTACCTACTGAAGATAGATATACACATATTCTATGGCACAGCAATTTTAAGTGGGTATATACGTAAAATGAGCCCTCCTAGAGACAGAAGAGGGGATCTCACTGCAATCAACACTGAAGAGCTGGAGGTGGAGTAGAGTGCCTCCTTCGACCCAAGATCTCTGCACTTGACTTCCTTGGCAAAAAGACAGCAGAGACGACTAAGATGGCGGGCTGAGGAACCAAGAGGCACGAGACAGAGCAGTGGTCTTTCTGGCTCATGGAGTGAGAAAGCTGAGTGCCTTTGGACAGGAGGTTTGCTGGCAGAGTAGGATGCACCTATGTGTACCTATGGGCAGAACTGAAAGAGCTTTCTAACACTTGCCCATGCAGGGCAGAGGCCAGGCCAAGAAACTAAGAGTCAGAGAGGCATTTCTGAGGACACAGCAGAGGGGAGAAACTGTATACTGAGTGTGTTCCTGAACCTGAATTGTAGCCTGTTACTTCCCTAATAAAACCCCAAAATCACGAGTATTGTCTGTGAGTTCTGTGTGGCTGCTGCAGCAGATTCTGGAATGCAGCAGGGAAGTCGTGAGGGCCGTGGGAGTGACTGTTGGTGTCAGAGTGGGTAAAAAGGTGGAGAGTAGTGGCATGTGTGACCTCATAGGAATAAGTCTTGGGCTGCTGATGGTCATTCTGTCCTCCCTTACGAAGTTACAGGATGTCAGAAGATGCTGCCCCCCTGCTCTTTTTGGAGTGTGGTTCCTTTTGAAACACTCTATTCCTATGAATGTACTTCCCAGGCCAGATTACTTAATTCCTCAAACCAGATGATTTTTATTGTTATTTTAAAATCAAAATCAAACCCACTGCTACCGAGCTGACTCTGACTCATAGTGACCCCAATTGGGTTTCCAAGGTGGTAAATCTTTACAGAAGTAGATTGTTCCACCTTCCTTCCATGGAGCGGCTGGTGGGTTTGAACTGCTTACATTCTGGTTAGCAGTTAAATACCTTAGACACTGGTAGTGTAGTGCCTAAGGCACTGGACTACTAACCAGAGGGCTGGCGGTTCAAACCCACCAGCAACTCCTCGGAAGGAAGATGGGGCAAACTACTTCCGTAGTGATACTGCCTCGGAAACCCAAGGAGGGGTCACTATGAGTCGAGTCTGACTCGACAGCACATAACAACAACAACTACGTCACCAGAGCTCCATATAGCTGAGCTATATGCCTCTCTGCCAGCAGATGTCATCATCCAACATAAACTGATCAATGTCAAACGAATTTCTTAAAAATCAAAGCTTTAAAAAGACTTCCCATGCTCCCTTATTAATTCAGTCCATATGAAACTATATTGATAATGCTGAATGTTTTGATTTAAGATAGTTTTTTATCTTAATAATCCAAGGCAGGTAATATTATAAATTAATATAAAATATTGCATTTATATTTCTACCATACAATTTTTAAATAAACAAAACAAATCACCACTACCACCAAAAAAAGAGCCTGTTACTACACAAATACAAATGAATATATTTTCCTTGCTCTTGTTTCATTACACTAAACCACCTTCCATGACAATTTTACCCAACCAACCAGGATGGCAATATGTATTAGTGTCAGTTGATAAATTTATTCATAACCCACTAGAATTCATGAAAGGGATGCATTTATTTATTCAGTCCACAAAACTTTTCTAGTCCTTGCACTGTCTGACAGGTGAGAAAATTCCTGCCACCCAAATGTAGAACAAATATCTAATGCAGAAAGAGCCATGGATGGTAACTGTCTATTACAATTTGAAACATGTAAAAGAAAACCTGGCTGTGATGGGCATGACCAATGCTTAAAGGATTCTGCCTGTGGTGGATAACTTCCCCCAGATGAGAGTAGCAATATATACATATCTTACTGAAAGCAGTCTTATACCCAAAGCATTCAACAGTTGCTAATTTAAACAACAACAACAAAAATTTCTTTCTTTAAATGTCAGGGGCACCGCCAAGTAAGTTCAGTGCATTTCTGGAACTGCTTCTCTGCCTCCTTACTCCCCTTATACATCACAGTACACTTACTTGACCCCATGTTGTTATATGTTATATGTTGTCCATAGACACTCAATAAACAGGCAGGTGTCAGACAAAAAGTACATAAGGATGCTCTAGAAGAAAGATAACACCAAATACCAAAATATTGTATGTTAAAGTTAAAATGATATACACGTTATATCATATCATAATATATTGTTTAACATGCTATAAACAATTCCTTAAGGTTCTATTTATGATTACCTTACTTGGGGGAATATTTAAAAGAGCAAGTGTTGAGCTTGATTTTTATGTATTGTTGAGGGTGGCAATAACAGAGCAAAATCTTGCAGACAGTGCTACCAAGTTTGGTAAACTGACAAAGAGCAGTTGAACCAAAGGGAAGGCAGTTTCTGCTCCTTATGAGTCAGCCTTAGGAGCAAATAAAGCAATGAGAACTGATTTCTAATACTGCTACCCAAAAGGAGACTGTTGTATGGGAAGCAGGTCCTTCCTTCTGATGAACAATGTCTAGAGGGAGAGATAAGAATACTGTGCCTTGATCACAGGCCAGAACTGATGATCTAAACTACTGATCTAACTCTAATCCAAATGAGAATTTAATGCTGGAGACCCAAAATGCCAGATATTTTCCAAATCCATCCTCTCCTCATCTCTACCCTGTTCTCCCTGGGATGCTAATCTATATGGATTGCATTGTTGAAAGATAGCCCTTCTTGGGTCTCTCCTGCTCTTTGAGGACTTACTGGGTAAGCCAAGAAAGAAGCAACTTTGAGGGATGACATAATGTTTCCCTCTAGGACAAAGAGCAGGCTTGTTTACTGCTTGCTATAAAAGCAATGAGTGGTATACACATAGAATGGAATACTACTCAGCAATAAAGAAAAATGAGTTCCCAAAACATCTTACAACATAGATGAACTTGTGGAACATTAACTTTGAGTTAAATAAGTTAATCACAAAAAATCATATATTGTATGTGTTTTGGTTACCTAGTGCCGTTCTGATAAGAATATACCACAAATGGGATGCCTTAAACAAACAGGAGTTTATTCTTACAATTTGGAGGCCTTAAGTCCAAGTTTAAAGTGCCAGGCTCTAGGGACTGTGTGAAAGCCCCTCGACCCTGGCCTTCAGCTCTGCCTCTTGCTCCTGGCCCACTGAAGCTAGAGGCATCTCTCTTCACTCAGGCAGCTACTGGCTGGTGAGGCTAACAAGCCCAAGGTCGATAAATAAAATGACACAGTCCTGATGTTACCAAACCACACACAGCAGGCCATAATTCAAGTCCACTGAAAGTCCCAAGGTCAGCACAGCATGGCAGGCTATTGAACAACATGACTACACGCAGGGTTCAAAAGTGCCATAAGCTAGAGACCGTGCCCCAAGGCTTGTGCTTATAAACAGGAAGCAGACCACGTCCCTAAGGCAGCTACTCAGCCGCTCACAGTAGATTCCACCATGGAGTTGATTACCAGTCTCATCATGGAGAATACCATATCCAGCTGCCCAGTCACTCAACCAGGCCCAGCCAAGTTGACAGACAAACTTAACTGCCACAGTATGTTTTCACTTTTATGAAATGACATGACTAGGTAAATATGCAAAAAATAATGTTCATCACTGAGTAACAGGTCTGGGTGGGGAAAAAATGGAGATCTACTCTCTAGATAGCAGACACTAGCCATTTTTGGTGATGGGAAGGTTAACTCCAAATGATGGTGAAGTATGCACAGCTTGATGAAAGTAAATAATGTCACTAAGATGTAAACATCAAACAGAACAAGGGGACACTACATGGTTTAAAATCAAGAAGGGAGTGCGTCAGGGTTGTATTCTGTCTCCACACTTATTCAATCTATATG